TTTTTTCTTTTGCTGTAACGCTTTTTATAATATTACCTATTTGTATTCGTGTCACCTTCCTCGTTACCGGTATTGGTGACTTGTGCCTGCCCTGTTTTCCTCACATGTCTGATAGAGGTTTATTAATTTTATTCTTCTCTAGGGACTAGCTTCTAGTCTCGTTGACCTCCCCCCACCCCTATATACTAGTTCATTGATGTCTGCTCTGACCTCTGTTATTTCCTCCTTGCTTTAGATGGACACTGGGCTGTTGAGGGATTTCTCCCATTCTAAAATAAAGGTATTTAGTACTATCAATTTTCTTTCACGAGCTGCTTTAGCAGTATGTCACATGTTAAACACAAACTTTATTTTCATTCAGTTCAAAATATGCTTTTTAACTTTCTAGTTTAACTTATTTTTTGGCTTCCAGGTGTGTTATTTAGTTTCCAAATAATTTAGGATTTCAAAAGTATCTTCCTTTTATTGTGTCTTAATTCTTTTTTTTTTTTTAAAGATTTATTTATTTATGCATACAATAACTGGGGTACAGGCCAGAAGTGCAGGATGGGGGGTGATAAGAGTGTTCACTAGAGACAGATTGGGGAGCAGAACAGGCAGATCGACTGAAATCCACTGCTGAGGGGAGCAGCGGGGAGACAGGGGAGGTCCGCTGCGGCCTGTGGGTCAGCTCTCTGGCTGGGGATCGAATCTGTGCCGTAGGGGCAGCGGACGCTTCATAGTGCTGCCCTTTAACCCCTGGTGCCACCAGGGAGTCTTCCTTCTATCTTGGTAGCAGAATGTGTACCTTTGAAAAGAAATAGTATTCTGCTGTGTTGGGTGAGGTTTCTGTACATGCCAGTATGATAAAGCTGGTTGCTTGTATTGTTGATACCTTATTTTTTTTAACCCTTACTGATTTTCTGTGGATTCATTCTGTTGTTTCTTGAGAGGTATTAGAATCTTTGGCTATAATTGTGTCTGTCTGGCTCTTTGAAATTCTTTGTTTGTTTCTTTTGCTTATGTAGTTTGAATCTGTTAGGAGCATAAACATTTAGGATTCTTTTGATTTCCTATGAATTTAATCATTGTGAAAATTTTAAGATCTTTATCTCTGATAATATACTTTGCTCGGAAACTTTGTCTAATACAAATATCAGTACTAATTGATAAGCATTAGCATGGCATATACTGGTTTTTGTTTACTTTTAACCCATATCAATGTCTTTAAATATAAAGTGTGTTTCTTACAGGCAGCACGGAGCTCAAGGTGTTGCTTGTTCTTAGCCATTCTGAAAATCTCTGCCTTTTACTTGGATTGTTTAGGCCATGTACATATAATGAGACCATTGATATGAATAAATTCGCCATCTTGCTCTGTCTTCTACTTGTCCCATCTGTTTTTTGGTTTCCTTTTATCTCTTCTAATGAACCATTGGATTTGTTGAATTTTTATGGTTCCATTTGTCCTGCTGGGTGGTGTCTCAGCTGTAACTTTTTTAGTGTCTGCTCTAGGACTCATGATGTACTTGCTGCTGTTGTACTTCCTAAACAACACATACAGTTATAATCGCACCTTTCCCCCACCTGACCTTCATGCTAGTGATGCCATCCATTTTACTTCTAAGTATATTGTGAACCCCTCACAACATTGTTAGCTATGTTTAGTCAGTTATGCTGAGGGAGTCAAATACTATAAAAAACTGGCTACATACTTACCATTTCTGATGTAGTTCATATCTTCCAGACGTCCTTCCATCTGGTATAATTTTCCTTCTGCTGAAGGACTTCCTTAACATTTCATGTAAAAAGCTGCAGATGATGAATTATTCCAGCTTTTTATATTTGAAAAAAGCCTTCACTTTTGATATTTTTGTAGGTTATTATAGAAATACCGTTTGATAGCTTTCTTTCAGTACTTCCAAAGTGATACTCCCGTCCCTTCTAGCTTGTGTTGTTTTTAACAAGAAATCTGCATTATCTTTGCTTCATTATATGTAACATGCATTTTCCCCTCTGCCTGCTTAAAAAATGCTTAACGGGGTAAAATACACAAAAGAAAGTCGACCATGTCAACTGGCTGAAGCGCACGGGTTGGTGGTATTAAATACACGCACACTGCTGCAGTCATTAAGCTCCAGGACTGTTCTTCTTGCAAAAGTGAGCTGCTGTGCTCATACAAAACAGTAACACCCAGCATCGTTTCTTCAGTATTTCTTACAGGGCAGTTCTAGCATTTATGAGGTCCTTCAGCTTCTGTTTATCTGGGAATGACTGAATTTCTTCCTAATTTTTGAAGGGTACTTTATTATACACAGAAAATTCAGTTGATTAGTTTTTTCTTTTGGCACTTTACTTTTTTTTCCCTAAAATATTTGTTTATGCGGCCCTCCCTGGTGGCGCAGCGGGTTAAAGCACAGCACTGAGAATCTGAAGCCGCTTCTGCATGAGTTCG